GGGAAGGTTGCTAACATAGGAAAAGAGACTGATAGGAAGTTCTTCCCAGCTGAAACAAAGTGTTATGTGGTACATCACGATTTGTTTGCTACTTGTCCTTTTTAATTCTCATCATGGCCCCTGGAACCAATTAAGTATAAGTATCAAGGACCCACTGTAGTACCAAATATCCCTCCCCCCCAGTGTCTTCTGGCAAATACCCTCTACACATGAAAAGAAATGAAAAAGGTCTAATATTATTGTCTGAATAGGATATGCTATTTCTGAATTTAATAATTCTATTGTCTTTTTCCTTTTAATTCTTTTCCCTTCCACTTTTATTCATCATGTTTTCTTCCAACCCTTTCTTTCTCCCTGTATCCAGTACTGTTATTCCTTCCATTTGTTCCGTAAACATCTTGTTTACTTCTTCTTTGCTCTTTCTACTCAGGAGGGACCTATATAATAGCATACTTGGTATGCCTTTGTATATGACAGAGAACAGTTTCTCTGTGTAAATGAAGACAGAGAATCCATTGATTTTACAAATGGAAAATCTTTTTAATCAATAAATTACCATATGATTCCAGTACAAGGCAGAGTACAAATAATTCATAATAAATATAAATATTAATTTCTTTTGTATCCTGTATCTGCCTTTTTTGACCATTGAGTGAAGACCAAGACAGATATATGTATAGACAAGTAAATGTGTCACATGCTATCCTGGTCCTGTTAGACCTCTCAGCGGCTTTTGATACCATCGACCATGGTATCATGTTGCACCGGTTGGAGGGGCTGGGGGTGGGGGGCACCGTTTTGCGGTGGTTCTCCTCCTACCTCTCTGACCGGTCGCAATCTGTGTTGACAGGGGGGCAGCGGTCGACCCCAAAGCACCTTGCTTGTGGGGTGCCACAAGGATCGGTCCTCTCGACCCTTCTGTTCAACATTTATGTAAAGCCGCTGGGTGAGATCATCCGTGGCTTCGGGGTGGAGTTCCATCAGTACGCTGACGACACCCAGCTGTACATCTCCACCCCAGGCCACCCCAACGATCCCTTGAAGTGATGTCCCAGTGCCTGGAGGCCGTGCGGGCCTGGATGGGGAGAAACAGGCTCCGACTCAACCCCTCCAAGACTGAGTGGCTGTGGCTTCTGGTGTCCCGATATAGCCAGCTGACGCCATCGCTGGCTATTGGGGGCGAATCACTTGCCCCCACAGAGAGGGCTCGTAACTTGGGCGTCCTCCTGGACGCACGGCTGTCTTTAGAAGATCATTTGACGGCCGTGGCCAGGGGGGCTTTTTATCAGGTTCGCCTGATACGCCAGTTACGCCCCTTTCTAGATCGGGACTCCCTACGCACAGTCACTCAGGCACTCGTCACTTCCCGCCTGGACTACTGCAACGCTCTCTACATGGGGCTCCCCCTGGGGTGCACCCGGAGGCTCCAGCTGGTCCAGAACGTGGCCGCGCAGGGGATTATGGGGGCGACGGGGCGCTCCCATGTGACACCTCTCCTGCGCGAGCTGCACTGGCTCCCAGTGGTCTTACGGGTGCGCTTCAACGTGTTGGTGACTATCTTTAAAGCGCTCCATGGCTTAGGGCCGGGGTATTTACGAGACTGCCTTCTGCCACCAATAGCCTCCCACCGGCCAGTACGCTTGCAGAGTGGACCTCCTCAGGGTGCCGTCCGCCAGACAATGTCGGCTGGCGACCCCCAGGGGGAGAGCCTTCTCTGTGGCGGCGCCCACCCTCTGGAACAACCTCTCCCCAGAGATACGTACAATAACAGACCTCCGGATTTTTTGTCGGGCCCTGAAAACTTATTTATTTCAACTAGCTGGGCTGGCTTGAGTTAAATTTTAAACTGATTTTAAATTGGGTTGTTTTTAAATTACGGCCAAAAATATTTAATCATTTTAAACTGTTTTTTAAATTTGTATGTTCTGTTTTTTACTCTGGCTGTTCACCGCCCTAAGTCCTATTGGAGAAGGGCGGTATAGAAATGGAAACAAATAAATAAATAAATAAATAAATGCTGTAAACTAAGGCCATTTATTTCAGATGGAAAAAGTACATCTAATTGGTTGGGTAAAGAGACTTACAGTAATTGTACTTACCTTACTTTTTGACATTGATTGTGAAGAATCATCTTTATTCTGTGAAGCATCATCTTTCCCTCTATCAAAACCTTTAAAAAAAATGAATAAGCTTACAATAATTTCTATACAATAAAATTATAATTGCCAAGTATACTTTCTTTAAAGACAAAGCTGTTAAATTCTGACTAAGCATATTAGAAACAACATTCAAATACCCCAATGGTATCATAACAATTTTAAACCTCTAAAATATTGTTTAGTAATAAACACTGTGTGAGTCAACACCTACCCAAAAGGTATTGTTTTTATTTGTTAATATTGTACTTAGTAATGCAACCTACTTTTGTGACAATATAAAAAATAGAAAACAAACCTTGAAAGACTGGTGAGAATTCACTGCATCCTCCAAATGAAGCATTCCGGACAAGCTTTCGACTATCAGTTCGTGGAGGAAGTGAAACCCCAGCACCTAAAGAAAACCTACGCCTCATAGGACCTTCTTCCTTTATGAGTTAGATGCTTTATATAATTAGTCTTGTCATTCAAAAGGCTGGTGATAATGAGAATGTTGCAGAGAAAGCAGTTGCAATCATTAGCAACCCACATGTAAAAGAGTCATGTATGTATTTGAAAAAGGAAGATGGTATTTAAGGATGTTGGTAATAATGTCAAGTTGTTGCCATTTCTCTATCTAATATTTCCTATTTTAGTTAGTATGTTCTAACACAAGCTAGTGTAGAGTACTTGAACTTACAGAGAATTGGCACGATCAAGTACCTTAACCGACCAAAATAATTCTTCTACTACCTAATCATTCAAATATCTTAAAGCACACACAGCAAGCTATAATGGGTATATTTCCAACATTGTGAAAGAAAGCAGCAAATTACAGTTTCTAAAAAAAATGAATTTCTCAATAAAAGAAAATCTTGCATTTGTAGCACTTCATCTTAACAAAGCGAACCAAATAGCAAACCAAAATATCTAAGAATACTAGATCACAAAAAGCTTTCCATTTGATGAACTGAAAAATGTCCATTGCTTCTTAAAATAATATTACACAAATATTAATAATGCACATTGAAATTTATATTTTAGAAAAGAAGTGCTTTATTATTAAAACAATTATAATTCAATAATAGAGGTCCTTGCTAATTTTAAATTAAAAGACATGGCTTTTATATTATGATTTCATATTGGAATAATTAGCCTGAAGAAAATACAGAATCTTTCAGCTTTAGGAGGGTTTTTCCCCATTAAATAGTCTGATATATTTTCAACATGTGATCAAAATTCAGATGCTTAGCAATTGGTTTATATTTATGACCGTTGCTGTGTCTCAGGGTCATGCGATCACCTTTTGTGACCTTCTGACAAGCAAAGTCAATCCCGTTGTGAACCAGTAGTAAAGGCAAGTACAACCCACCCGATTGGGTAGTAAATTTTGCCGCTTTTCATGCAGAGCATGACATTTTCAATGGATCAGCTGAATACATATCATCTGTATATTACTAAAACTCTCCTATTTGTGTGCAACCTTTAACTGGCAAAATAGTGTATCATAGAGCAACAATTTTTGAATCAAGGAATCTCAAATGTGCTAATTTACAGAATGTGTTCAAAATCTAGGATCCATGACTCCCATGGAATTGACACTTGGCAAATTTTATAAAACTTTTATGATATAAAAATCAACATAAAGCATTTTATGACATAATGCAAAATGTCATAAAACATTTCTTGTTGTCCCTCCTGATGTTATGCTATACAGTTCAACATGGACTATTTTCGATACATCCCTGAATGTCTCCCTAAATTTTTATAAACTTTTGCAACAAAGGCAGTAAATTAAAAGCTCTGCCATTGTTGAAGACATTGAGGAATCTGGTAAGCAAATATCTCAAAAAATGACACAATAGATTGTCTGGAATTTTTTAAAACTCTGTCTTCCATAACCACTGTTTTTTTCTGCCAGAGATTTTGGACAAAGGACAAATTCTTAATATTCTGAAATTAGATAATTTAAAACAGGGGTGTGAAACTGGTGGCCCAATGGCTGGATGCATCACGTGCAGGCCACGCCCACCTGAATTCTGTGAAGGGAACACGTCACAATATGTCATGTGACAGCAACGTGACGCCACAAGTTTGACACCCATGGTTTAAAAGAATGAACACACACATACACATTATCTGTATGCTCAAAATAAAAGTCAGCAAAATATCTAAAAACTTGTCCAAGATAAAACTGAGCTAGCAGAATTTTTTTCTAAGCAGTAATTTCATAATTCAATCAAAAATATTACTTTTAGCTTTTTAAACTTTATTAACCACCATAATACATAGTATTACTTCAGTAATGAAGTTCACAATTAGTATTAAGACTTAGATTTCAATATCACTGCTTCTCTTATATGTTGATATATTCCATTTATTAGAAGTGAACAATTGTTTTAAAACAATAAGGAACATAATTCACATTTTCTGGCATCATGAGAATGTATCATAATTTCAAATTACAAAGGAAGGCCAACCAAATTCAGCCTCTCCCCTTCCTTCCATAACTGCAATATAAAAAGGATACAGGACAGTGCTAAGAATTCCCCATCAAAACCTGCTTTTATTCCTGTTTTACACTTCATTTCTTATATTATTTCTATACACTAAACTGTAGACAGATCTCACAGCACTATAAACACTAACTGGAGCTATGGTAAGTCTCATTTCTTTTGCATGTGACTTTCATACCATGTTCTCAGGGATGGTCTGTAATGGGAAAAAGTACTATCTAAGAAAGTTCACAAATTGCAGCTTTGTCATTATTATGATGACACACATTTATAACACAAAGAGAGAACCTGGTTTCTAGAATAGGAATCTAAGGATTGTGCTAGATGTTACAATGGAAACAATGGTTTCCCTAGTAACACTGAAGCAGGGTGGGTGAATAACTTCAGAAAAGAATCTGTGAGTAGTATTGGAGCAGCAACACTTAATATATTCTTTATTCACATAAACTACAATTTTGCTTATCCTAGTAATTTTCATCAGTATTTCCCCAGGCAATTTGAGAAACTGAAAATTCATCTAAAAGAAAATGAAATCTACCAGAAATTATGTAATCAATATAAGCAGCAATGGTGGTAGTGCTGGTTAAATGCCTTGACTTCTTCTCAACTGACTATGCCAATCAAATGCCCCCCCCCTCCATTTCTTCTGGCAAACATACTTAAACACATTTTGATAATGTGATCAACAATTCAAAAGGACATGTTCAACAAATAACAAAATCAGCTATCTACAAAAGGCATTGGTTGAAGGCACAACACTAGAATAAATTACATATTATGAACCAATAAGTATAGAATTGTTACTTTTGTAAGCAATACTAGTATTTTCTACAATCATCAAACCAAATCTTTACTATGGTCAGAGACTGCCATATCTGCATTATAAATGATGTATCTATAAAGAGTAAAAATCTCCATTACTGTAATATTTCTTTAGCATGTTATGTAATAGGACTCCATTGTATAATCCTCCTCACTTTACAGTCAGAAATTGTACAGCTTAGACTTCCAGTGATGTGAGGAGAACCAATTTTTTTTGCAGGGGCTTTATAGCGCTTTCGGCAGTTGGATGAGAGACGGGAAGCTATCTGAATTGAACAGTTATTCCTTTGGAATATTTAATGGTGTAATGGATTCGTTTTTGATATGTAAATAAGGAGTTATTATTTCTGGGAATGTTTAATAGCTTTTAATTTTTTTTTGCAATGTTTAACTGTTAAGAGAAGGATAAGGGTAATTTAAATAGAAAGGGGGATTGTATTCTTATGTTATTAAGTATTCTTGTTAATTTTTACTGGGGCTTTTTGGATTAATGAGAACTGAAGATTTAGAGATGAGTTTTTAGAAAATAAAGTAAAATATGGAATGAAAAGGTATTTGGATATATTTTAAAAGACAATGATAAACTGTTAGGGAAATGGTACACCCCACTTCTTAGGCAGCTTAGACAGACAATTTATTTCTGCCTTACATTTTGAAAGAATGTAAAAATTGTCAAGATAAAATATTTACATCTGAGAATGTTAAAAATACAAGAATAAAGCTTTTTTACTAGAAGAGTTAAACTGTAATAAAGGAAGCAATGTATGATAGCAATAATCCACAAGTTAAGATGCCAAACAGATTCGTATGAAGAAATGTTCACTGAAGGGCACGGGGTAAAGCTTCTTCACTATCAAAATCTCATTGTAATTTGAAGAGAAATGCAATTTTAAAGTTAATTTTTCTCTCTATTCTCGGTAGGTGTTTTTTTTTTTAACCAGCAACCATGGCAACTTATCAAATCTATATACAACATTCAAAGGGTTTCTTTCTCTCCAAAATCTAGTCTAGTGTTTCTCTTTTTAAAAATACTGTCATTGGAAAAGTGTAGGAAATGCTTTTCCAAACCCCATTCCATTTTTTTCAGTTATGCAAACATCCCTGTGGAACATTGTACCCCTGGAAGTTAGAACTGCCTCTGCCCTTCTGGCTTTCCGGAAGGGTATTAAAACTGGCTTTCCCTATTGGCCTGATGCCCCGAGGGAGGGAGATCACTGTTGGAGGTAGCTGATGGAGTAAGACAATCTCATTGCTGTCCGTCCATCTCAAAGCTCTCCTAATTTAGGTTTTAATAATATTTTAATCTAGTTTTAATATTTTAATTATTTTTCAATTGTTTTGTAACTTAAAAGCCACCCAGAGTCACCTTGTAAACCAGATGGATAGCATAGCATAAAATTTTAATAAATAAAATAAAAATAAACTACATAAATTTTCAGAAGTGTTCCTAAGAGGATATGTACACACATGCAGAAGACCTCTGAAGGCACTTGAAGCAGCCAAGCCTTCAGTAGCATGAGGCTGTCTGGACAATTCAATGATTGGCTTCAGATGGTTTATCAGTTACAACACCACCATAAATAAAATGCTTCTCCAAATTATTTGCAGAAACCTGTTAATCTTCATTTATGCCAAAGAGTTCCAAATGAACTTGAATGAATTGGATATGATAAATTTAGGAGAAAAAATTTCCATTTAGAAAACAAAACATTCAGTATTTTGCATATACTGAAACCAAGTTTATGATTTAATGAGACTTCCTTCAGTGCATAACTGACTAATTTGCTCTACAGTAGGCTGTGAGAAGGTTTAACACATTTATATTTTTAAGTCAGTCAGTTTTATATAATATAAACTTTAGATTTGAAATAAGCTAAGTTTATAAATGATTACCAATGTGGATTCAGACAATATGTCAAATCCTACTCAATCACACATAAGAACGAAAGCTTCTGAAGTCTTACTTGTGTGCATATTGGAGCAGATGAGACAAGGCTGAGTTCAGTAAGATATGATTTAATTGACATCTAAATTCAACTCTTATAAGTAATACTTTCCTACTTTTTGCTCATTTATTGAATATCTTACTTGTTTAGGAATTATATATCTTGTGGTATCTCCTCAGAAGTAACAAATGGAATGTAATTTTGTAGTAACAGCATATCTATTTCCTACTTCAACCACTACATTTCCAACTCCCAATGAAGTGTGTATGTATATATATATATATATTTGTTTGTTTCCATTTCTATACCGCCCTTCTCCAAATAGGACTCAGGGCGGTGCACAGCCAAAGTAAAAACAGAGCATACGAAGTACATGGAAGCCTGCTGATAACTAGCTGATCCCATCTTTCGGTTTTAATTTGTAATTGATTTTATTGGGGTGTTTTTAAATTGTGGGCCAAAATTATTTAATATCTTTTAAAATTGTTTTAAATTTTGTATGCTATGTTTTACCTTGGCTGTTCACTGCCCTGAGTCCTGCTGGAGAAGGGCAGTATAAAAATCAAATAAAATAAATAAATAAATAAACTATCAAAGACAACTTAATGAACTGATACAGTATATAAAAAAGGACTTACACACTCAGCATTTTCCCATCTACTTTATTACACAATTAAACCAAGACACTTTTAACCATATTTTTTTTCAAATTAAGAGAAATATCTGTGCTGATTTCTGGGCAAGATACAAAACTAAGTTATGGTTTATATAGCATAAAACCAATTCTCTTGAACTGGTCACATGTACAACAAGTGTTGTTGAGTATTTTATTTAATACTATATTCAACAAAACAGCTCTTACCATGGCCTTGGCCTGGACTGAAAGAAAGTTGGTGTAATTCTTTGGTTGGAGTAAGATACCCTTCTTTCCCGTGACGCTGACTCATCTTTCCTGGAGTAGAAGTATGAGATTCATCACTGCTTGCTACTGCAGCTGTAAAATAAACATAAAAAATGATGAGTTACGACATTTCACTGAATATAGTAGAAATTGTCTCCACCCTAAGGAATTTACGTGGTAAAATGCAACACAGAAAAAGGAAGGAAATGAAGGCTAAAGTAAAAAGGCAAATAATATGTGATTCCCTCAGCTACATATTATAAAACTGATTTGTAATAAGGCATATTGAGGAAAAAGTTTCATTGTAAAATATCAGGTTTAAAGATCATAGTTTAAACAGGATTTGAGAATGTATAATTTACTTAGAAAAGGTGAATAAAGAAGTAGTAGACTGTTAAAATGATGCTGAAGCTCCATCAGGAAATATATAAATAGAAAGAAGGGAGAACATAGTTTTTAGAATGTTTTGAAAATAAGATGTTGATTTATGTGCAACAATGGTAAAAAAGTTACATAGAAATAATATCCATTAATATCCACTCAGAAAGCTTAGAAAGTCGAATGGTTTTGAATATTTAAAATAGAAAAGTGAGATAATTTTAAATCATTTGATCGAAAAATGTTCAACATAAGGGCTACATGCTTTGCTTCTAAATTCAGCTCCTCTCTCTTCCTTTTAAATCATTATTACAAAGGTCTGATTAACTGGGCATGATATCTTTGGTCTAATATATCTGGAGAGCATGAAAGAAGAACAACATGGGATAACATGAAATAATTGCAACATGGTTTCTTTTCATATTATAGTAGTAACTTTTCCATAATCTGCAGGTCCAATTTAAATCATTATAAAAACACAGCATTTTAATCTTGCTTCATATCATTATTTTCTGGTATCTTTAAAACTGAAATTTCCTAAAACTGAATTTCTGAAAATTATCAAGCTGCATGTCTATAATCATCTTACATACTCAAAAATCAACTCCCCTCCTTTCTGACTACCAATTCCAAACATAAATTTCCTTAAGCAACGTATTTGAGATTCTAAACTAAAAAGCTATAGATTCTATAGATTTATCAATCCAAAATCTAATTCCCAAACATATATTTATGTTTGATTTTTAAAAAGATGTTAATCCTTTTTTTCTCTCAATGTAATTGCTTGATAATTTTTCCTTCTAATATTTTAGTCACAGTGCCCTCTAGAGATATTGTTAAAAAAAATGTAAGTTTTCTAAATTCTCAATTACTAGATTGAGCTCCACAGATGGAAAATCTCACAGCTCTTGAAGCTGTCATGCCTAATATAATCCAGGAGCCCTATTTATAACAATGAGTAGCAAATTAAATAGTAGAGGAGTAAATGTATTTGCAGATAAAGCAACATGCTCTCAGTCTACTTTGCAGAGCCTCTCCTCTTTCCTTTCAGTCTCATCACTGCACTGCACTATTACTACAAAATAGTCAAAGCAGAGTATGTATACAAATTTTGGGAGTCTATGAAACAAATTATTCCAGCGAAATAATAATTAAAGAAAAGGTCTAACCAGACCACTTTATTCTTCATTCTTACATTCCCCTAAAATTATCTTTACATGTTGCTCTTTGTATTTCACATTGCCAGAAAAATTATAAGTTTTGAAATGTCAGCATTTGCACAAACCTAAAGTGTTTATGATTTATAATATTTCTTTTTACAAATGGACAAAATGATAGATAAAGCTAACAGTAATGCACAATGTGATGGCAGGTGAGGCTCTAGAGTGTGTCAGTCAGGAAAGTCATCTCTTTTACAAAAAAAATTCACAATTCAAAAACTCAAAAGAAGGCAATGGCAAACCTGTATTCCTGGGAAGAAAATATATGGGCAAGGCTAAAGAATTTAGTCAAGTTGGGTGCCAGATGCCTCTCTAGAAAGAATACATTCTTCTAGCTACCGAGAAAGCACTTCCATGAATATACTTGTAGGTGATGCCATGATCAGACCAAAGCATAAGAGAGTACAGGTAATCTTCAATTTAAAAAGCAGCTCATTTAGTGATCATTCAAAGTTACAACGGCATTGGACAAAGAGATTTATGACCGTTTTTCACATTTACAACTGTTACAATATCCCCAGGGTCACATTTTCAAAATTCAGACACTTGACAATTGGCTCATATATATGATGGTAACAGCATCCTGGGATCATGTGATCACCTTTTGTGACTTTCTGACAAGCGAAGTCAATGGGGAAGCCAGATTCATTTAACAACCATGTTCCTAACTTAACTACTGCAGTGATTCACTTAATAACAATGGCAAGAAAGGTCATAAAATGGGGAAAACTAATTGAACAGATGTCTCACTTAACAACAGAAATTTTGGGTCAATTGTGGTCGTAAGTTGAGCACTACCTGCACTATCAATGATGTTGCCAGGATTAAATGAACTTTACATTTCCATTTATGTATGTACAGGCATGTATTTATATAATATGGATTTGTTCATTATATTTTGTCAGAGTGCACACAATGTGACTATGTGAGACAACCCAGGAGCAATAACATCAAACAGAGGTTTGTAATAATAAATAGTGATTTATCTCTACAAAAGAATATACATAAATGTTCTAGGTCCGTCATGGCAAACCTATGGCACGCATGCCACAACTGGCACATGGAGCCAAATCTGTGGGCATGCGAGTGTTGCCTTAGTTCCGCTCCAGTGTGCATGTGTGTGACGGCCAGCTGATTTTTGGGCCTTCTGGGCCCACCGGAAGTTGGGAAACAGGCTGTTTCCATCCTCCAGAGGGCCTCTGGGGAGGGTAGGCCATTTTAGTCCTCCCCAGGCATCAAGAAAGCCTCTGGAGTGTGGGGAGAGTGAAAAACAGGCCCACTGGGCCCACCGTGCAATCACGTGCCAAAAGTGGGGGCGACGGGCGCATTGAATTATGGGTGTGGGCATGGATGCGTGTGACCCCCCTCCACACTCCCACCGCTTTTGGCATGCTATGGCAAAAAGTTTAGCCATCACTGTACTAGGCAAAGGTCAATCAATCAATAGCAATAGCATGTATATACCACTTCATAGTGCTTTTACAGCCCACTCTAAGCAGTTTACAGAGTCAGCATATTGCCCCCAACAATCTGGGTCCTCATTTTACCCACCTCGGAAGGAAGGAAGGCTGAGTCAACCTTGAGCCGGTGAGATTCGATCTGCTGAACTGCAGCTAGCAGTCAGCTGAAGTAGCCAGCAGTACTGCACTCTAACCACTGCACCACTTCAGCTCAATCAGCAGTTTACAGCACAAAAGCACACAGAGAAAGAAAGATACGCCCCAACAGGGCCTCTCTTATAATACAGTCTCTTAAAGTGGTAACAGTCAAATAACCCTGCTGACTCATTACTACCATTGCATCATCATTACAGTATTACAGCATTACAGCAGCTGGTCAACTATTAAATCATCATTACCCTGACATATTTCATTTTACAAAGGTAAATGTAATTGGAACCTTAAACTTAAGAATGAACCAAGGAAAATTTGAAACTGTCAAGTGGAAATGAAGAACACTAGTGAAAACAGACCACTAGATGATATACTATTAAGGACATGAGGCCATACAAAGAAACAAAGAGGCATTGATATTGAAGATCAGGGATGTCAAACTCAAGGCCCGGGAGCCAGATCAGACCTGTGGGGTGCTTAGATCTGGCCCACAGGGCCGCCCTTGAAACAGCAAAGGACTGGCCCGCGGTACCTCTGCCAGTGAAAATGGAACTCAGGAGACCTTCCTGAGCTCCGTTTTCGCTGGCAGAAGGTTGCAGGATGCCATTGCAGCTGAAAACAGAGCTTGGGAGTCCGTTTTTGCTGGCAAAGCACTCAGGTCACCACTGGCGCCCCTGACACAAGTGACATCGAGCTGATCACGCCCACCCTGGCTTCCCAAAGTCAAACACAATCCTGATGCAGCCCTCAATGAAACCAGGTTTGACACCCCTGCTGTAGATGGCCCTCAATGAAATCAGGTTTGACACCCCTGTTGTAGATAGTCCTTGTTAAGTATATGCTCGGTTACAGCCCCATAAATGACATTGATTTTTGCTGAATATTAACTAATTCTAAAGGGTATAATGACAGCATCCTATCTGTTAGAATTAGTTAATATTCAGCAAAAATCTATATTATGCAAGTTTATGTCATTGCTAAAGAGACAATGGTACAAGGCACTGAGGAATTCTGTGGCAAACTGTAGGACAAGCAAACAAAATGGTAATAGAATCACTAACAAGTAAGTGGAATGTTAATGTTGAGAAATGGAAGAACCCAAAGTTACAGGAAGTGAATTAGGTAACTGCAATAATTTGGAGAACATTCTTTATGTACTATCTATTCATTTTCAAGCAACTTAAATGCAATCTCCACATCATTTGATGAGCAATGTGTCTGAATTAAATAAACCATGGAAAATAGTTTAATTCAGTCCACTAGGATTTTCCTTTTTAAAAGTAATTTTAAAGCATTTTGTAGCATTTTAACAATAACTAGACAACCCATACCTTGTTGGGACATTGTTTTGGAGATATTTCCTTACCTAAACTGAGAAACAGAATGAACGAGGGTGGGTAAAAAAGCAGTTGGAGAGGGAGCCAGTTCCTTTTCTTATGGGAATCTGGCAAGGAGCATTGGAAATCTCCCTTCCCTTCCCTTCCCTTCCCTTCCCTTCCCTTCCCTTCCCTTCCCAGCAAGCAGATTATTTTATTTTATTTATTTAGCGTATGGCATCTATAGAGGTCATGTCATCATTGATATACAACACTAATAAAACACATTAGATATACACATTATATATACAGACACAAAAATAAATTTAAATAAAGCACCAGCAAATATCCATATACTGTATATGTATAAAATATGTGGCTAATACATCAGATAAAATATTAAATTAAGGTAAAACCATAATAAAATTATTATAATATGGTGCCATAGAGTCACAATAGGATAGATGTCATATTTCAATATCTAAAGATGTTAACCATCTAACTGCTTCTGCTGTGGCTGCAATAAGATCATACTAGGTGTGATGTCAATCCTTTGTTACAAATCTGTTCAGGATTTAACTGTTATGTTTATAGTTGCATAACAAAGCTGTGTCTACAGGCACATTTTCTGAAAGTTGATAAAAAATTAACATTTGCTATTTTTTTGGACATTCCATATGTGCTTGAGGGAAGCATATATTTGTCACAATAGGTTTTACAATTATTATTATTACTATTTTTATTATCACTATTATTTAATCCTGCCTTTTATACCATTCAAGGCAGCATTCTTAATACTCCTGTCTCCTATTTTATTCCTTTGTTTCTGAATTTACTAAATACTCAGAATTTGCTAATAATATGAAATGAAGGTATGGCCCTATGAAAAAAAATAATTCTTCCAATGTTGCAGAAACTATTTACTTACTTGAAGTTCCCTGCCATTCTTTGATCTCACCATGATGCTGGAGGTACAGTGCAATTGAGTACGGAGAATGGCAAACGAAAGTATCCAGGCCAAAAGGAAAAGAGAAGGAAGAAGAACACAGCACATATAACAAAAAGAAAAGAAGAACAAGGAAAATAGCAGGTTAGTTAAAAACTAAGATGACAACATGCATATCAAATTTGATAGGTTTTTTTTAAAAAAATACTTAGCTTCAAAATAGAGGAATTTTTTAAAAAAAGCATAGGCAATTATATTTAGCACTTTGCCTTCAGTTTAACAACAACCAAGTCACTGTTGCTACTTGAATATATTTTTATGCTGCACCAAATTCAGCAAGTGAAGATGGAAACATTATAGATTGACTAATTAAACTAGAAGAGACCACTAAATGGAAGCAAAACACATTAAACAGAAATCTTCCAAATGTGCAAACCCTACAATTCTATGTATGGAGAAATAGACACTTTTCAGCTAACACCAACCACAAAATACAAACCCCAAAAACCTGAAAAAGAATTTCTTTGTGAATTTCCAATATGCACTATATGTTGAATGGGTAGTCAAAGGGTAAAGAAAGAGAAACTGATAACTGAGGGAAAAGATAACCAACCTTGCAAAATTTCAAATAACTTATTTTAAGCACTCCATAAGGAAAAAAAAAGGATTTGGCAACATGCTTTATAAATCAAAAGAAAATAATTGTCCTTGCAAACAGGGCTAGCTGGAGACTGGATAAAACGAGGCAGCTTACCTTACAGTTAATGCTGAGCAGTATGAAGATGTATGCCAGGGGTGAAATGTAAAATATGTTACTACCGGTTCTGTGGACATGGATTGGGGTGGTGGTGGTGGTAATGTGACTGGGTGGGCGTGGCCAACTTTTTTTTTTTTTTTTAACTATTCAAAGCATTTTTTCTAATGCTTTGAAAAGCCTCTCTGCCGATCAGGAACTCAGCTGGGATCGTCAGAGACTTTTCAAAGCATTTTTTTAACCATCTCTTTGGCCAAGAGGTTGCAGAAAAAAATACTTTGAAAAGCCTCTAATGATCACAGCTGAGCCGCGCGATAATCAGAGGCTTTTTTTTTTTTTAACTTTAAAAGCATTTTTTCATCGGAAGAGGTTGTAGAAAAAATGCTTTTAAAAGTAAAAAAAAAAGTCTCTAATGATCGTGCGGCTCAGCTGGGCATGGTGGGGGGGGCGCAGGGATTTTTGCTACCGGTTCTCTGAACCACCTGCCGTAATCGCTACCAGATCAAGCGATCCGGTCCGAACCGGGAGCATTTCACCCCTGATGTATGTAGTACATGGCTCAATTTCTACTCCAACTATCCTATCCTTCAGGTGCCTTGGACAATATTGTCAGCAGTGAATTAAGATTCTATTGCTAATATATTCCATTTTAAATGAAATTGGGAGATTGAAATAGAATAAGGAGGACTTAGAATTTTGAATAAAGATGGATAGCTGGATGGATAGATGAAGTAAAGCCAAGATGCAAAAACACAGTTATGGAATACAGTGAACCAATAGGCTAAGGTGATGAACTAAAGTTAGATTACAGGTAGTCCTCGCATGTTATGACCAGTCGCTTAACAACTGCCATATTCATTTAACAACAAAAAAGATTCTTTTGGGTTTTTCTCACATGAGGAGAAAATTAACTGGAGAGGAGGCTATGTTGAAAATAGAAATGCAAAAAAACAAAAACAAAAAAACCGAGTAGTTCTCTTTCCCTGATATTCCTCTGCTGAAACTGACAACTTGCACTGACTACAGTGGGCAGCAAGAGGGAGAAGGAGCAGAAATAGGAAACACAGCTAACTGTACTGAATTAGTTTTTTAACAGCTTATGTTTCAATGATGTTGAAAATATGAATAATATAGAGTTACTACATAACCTGAATTTTCTATACGGTATGTTCAAGCTCTGAATATGTGAGCCTTGTATTTTTTACTCTGTTCAATGATTTTCATTACTTGCAGATCCTTTGCATTTTCAGCTATTGGAGTACAGCAGTTTGCTGAAGTTCCTTCCTCCAGTTTTAAAACAATGCTCACTTTCTTCCAGCTTCCCTAAATATATAGTCATGTGAAAAAGAAAGAATACCCCCTTTGAATTCTATGGTTTGTTTATCAGGACATAGTAAAAATCATCTGGTCCTTAGCAGTTCTTAAAAATAGGTAAATACAACCTCAGATGAACAACATATGACATATTATACCATGTAATCATTTATTTTACGAAAAGAAAGCCAAAATGGAAAAACCATTTTTCACATCTGTATATTCAGTATACTTAAATAAGTAAATAATAAATAATCTACAAAACTGCCTTCAAATGTTTATTTTAGCCTAATAGGTCTCTAATTTTATTAACTCCACTGATTATTTGAGGTTCCACATAAGAAATGCTCTATTTTATTAGTAAAAGATGCATCTCCATAAGAAAATCTTTACTTCCCATGTTGGTGTCTTGAATAACTTTTCAGCCATGATAAGACATGATACATCTGTAAACCTTCTCTACATTTGAGATATGACTGTCATCATTAAAGGAAAAGTAAATAAAACTTTTCACTAAACTTTTTCCAACAATTTCCATTCCTATCCATCTTATAAATCTCCCATAAAAATTATGAGTATTGAAGGGAAGCCTTCATATTCCCTTCATATTTAGTAGTAGATTGTATCAAGAAAGAAATATTATTTATAAATATTAAAGCTGTAAAAAGATCATTTGATTTATTCAAGGGGATTCCAATTAAAATATACTCAAATGCTAAATAATTTAAGTTTTTTTAAAAACAAATTTTGCAAGTTTGCATTCCAAGTACATAGTTTGAAATTTCTTGAGCCAAATCTCAAGTGACACTATTTGTTAGAGACTTTTATCCTCACTGATAAAAGCTATAATTTATCAGCTGCCATGCCATCCAAAAAAAACAACAATCCCTGGAACTTCCTACAGTTCATACTCAGATTTAATTCTAGTCTAAGCTACTGAAAACACATTCTCATTAACAATTTTCCATCTATTATAGCAAGATGTTAAGTGGAGTGCAAAATGGGGCACTAGGGACTCTTGCATTCTTAAACAGCTTACTAATGGATGAAAAGGTGGAGAAAATGCTTAACAAATCTGCAAGACGCAAAGCAGTTGAGCAGCCCACTTCCTCTCTCCTCCCATCCTTGTCCAGGCACCAAACTGCAAAGACTGAGGATCATTGGCCTATTCGGAACCGGGCTACATGAGCGATGGGGCTGGCGCGTGTGCACACACACACACATCTAAACTTGCACAAGTCAAGCTGCATGCACGCACACATCAGTCCACTGCTCATGCAGCTCAGTTCCCCTCTGCTTCCCAAGCCAGGTCACTAAACCACAAAGCTTGGGGACCGCTGGCTTAGATAACACAGGAATCAAATTCAAAATGTTAGGGTTAGGGTTAGAAAAATGATCTTTTAAAAAGTAGTAAATGAAATTTAACAAAGATGAATGTAAAATTCTTTATAAAAGAATTTTATGAATGCAATTCAGCAAATAAAAGTGTTCTATGTCCCTGATGGTCACTACCTGCCAATATGAGGGCTGCCACATTTTGCATAAAATGTAGTCTTCCAGGGGTCTTTAAAGGCAGCTCTATGTAGTAGACATTGCAATAGTGATGCAAGCACATCACCAAAAGGTGATAAAAGTACAACACACTCTTGCAAGTTTATTTTGCTATATGTAAGGCTACCTTTGGCACATTAGCTGAAGCTGAACAAAAGATTGCCTGATCATGGCCTATACCAGTGATGGCAAACCTTTTAGACACCGAGTGCCCAAACTGCATGCGCACACATGCCCAAACTGAAAGATGTGTGCGCGCACACGCATGTGCACATGTATGCACACATGTGCACATGCTGCACAGACATGCACGCATGCGCAGCAGAGGCCCAAAGACCAGCTGGCCATTGGGAGGCAGGCCATCCCAACACCAGCAGCACGGTTAGATCTTTTTCCTTCGTGAGCTTCTGCTTTGTAGTTTGCAGGGAAACAGAAGCTCACGAAAGAAACGCCACGGAGATCTGACCTGGGGCCACAGCGTGCGTGCCAGCAGAGAGAGCTGTGCGTGCCAGCAGAGAGAGCTGTGCGTGCCAACAGAGAGGGCTGTGTGCGCCACCTCTGGCAAGCATGCCATAAATTTGCTATCATGGGCCTATACCCAGCCATATAACAGTAATTGTGAATACAGGACAACCTCTTATTTGCAGACTTCCTCTCTTAGGTGTAGTGCCTCCTCTAAGAGACAAAACAATGGATCCAGCTGAAAATCATAATGGACAAATGGAAATGCCATTTAGAACGGACGTTGCTTACCTGAACGTCCCTTCTCGACGCGCAGCTGGAGAATCCAAAGCTTCGGGTAGTTCAGTAGTTGGGTAGCCTACACTGAGTGTGTTCCTTTAAGAGATTTCTATTCAGACACGCCCACTTGCTCAACAGAGTCCCAGTTTTGTTCACGAAGTAAGGAGCAGTAGAGCGTAAGGAAGAAGGTTCAACAGCCAGGCTGGGTAGGTTGGATTCTCCAGCTGCGCGTCGAGAAGGGACGTTCAGGTAAGCAACGTCCGTTCTCCAACGCGCAGCTTGGAGAATCCAGAGCTTCGGGATTTACCCAAGCAAGTTCAGACAGGGAGGGAAACTGGCTGCTGCACGTCGTCTGAAGAGTTGCATACAGCTTGGAGCACCCGGCGGCCAAAGGATGCCTCCGCCGAGGCAAAGGAGTCCACCTTGTAGTGCCTGATGAAGGGATTCAAGGATGACCAGGTAGCCGCTCTGCAGATGTCGAAGACGGATGCATTAGTGGCCCAGGCGGCCGTGGTGCGGCGCTCCTGGTGGAGTGTGGAAGGATTCTCTGCGGAACCAGTCTGTTCCGAGCTGAATAAGCCCTGGAGATGCAGGATTTAATCCATCTCCCATGTGTTGTGGAAGAAACCTTCCGGCCCATGGAAGCGGGCAGAAAGGAAATGAAGAGCGATTCAGATTTCCGGAAATGCTCCGTTCTTTTACTGTATCTGCGCAGGGCCCGTCGGACATCTAAGAGGTGCCAGTTTGCTTCCCGAGGATGTCGAGGTTCGGGGCAGAAGTCCGGTAGGATTAATTCCTGGCCTCGATGGAATGAGGAATTTACTTTAGGCAGAAACGAGGGGTCTAGTCTCAGTACTACACAATTTGTGTGAAAGACACAGAGGTCACTTCTCACGGATAGGGCCGCGAGTTCAGATATACGGCGAGCCGAAGTAACTGCAACCAGGAACGCTATCTTAAGTGTCAGAAAACGGAGGCTGATGGAAGCGAGAGGCTCAAATGGAGGATGCATGAGGGCCTGAAGGACCAGAGTCAAATCCCAGGTCGGGTAGCGATGTGTAACAGGTGGGCGCAGGTTGGTTGCCCCTCAAAGAAAAGCGCGAATCGTAGGGTCCTGAGAGAGAGGAAGTGTTGCGGAAGCAGAAAGGACAATACTTAGAGCAGCAACCTGGCGACGAAGAGTGTTAGGCGCAAGGTGCTTGTCCATACCTTCCTGAAGGAATCCCAACACTTCAGGAACGGAAGCAGACGTCGGGTCCAGGTGGGATTTAGCACACCAGGAACAGAAGGAGGTCCAAGTTGCATTGTAAATGCGGCACGTTGACGGCTGCCTGGACGCCTGAATAGTGGGAATCGCATTGCTAGGTACGTTGACTCTCCTTAGCAAGATCCTCTCAAGCGCCAGGCGGTCAACTGCAACCACTGCGGATCTGGGTGCAGAATGACCCCCTGGCTGAGGACGACCCTGTCCTCTGGAATCCGCCACGGCCGTGCCACCGACAGGTCCATCAAATCCGCAAACCAGGACCTCCGAGGCCAGTGGGGTGCGACCAGAACGACGTCGGCCCTGTCTTGTATTATCCTGCGGATTAGACGAGGAAGGAGCGGCAGAGGGGGAAAGGCATAGAGGAGACCCCGGGGCCAGGGAGAGGCGAGGGCGTTGACTCCCTCCGCCTGAGGACATTGGTACCGGGTGAAGAATCTGGGAAGGTGTGTGTTGTCGCGGCTGGCAAATAGATCGACCAGAGGCATGCCGAATCTGCGAACGATCTCGGCGAACAGATCCGGGTGAAGGCGCCACTCGGCGTGGTCCAGGTGTTGCCTGCTGAGCCAGTCCGCTGTGATGTTTGTGATCCCGGCAATGTGCTCCGCTACTAGGGACAGGACATGCGCCTCCGCCCAGATCAGAAGCAGGGTCGTTTCCTCCATGAGTGGTCCCGAGCGCCTTTGCTGTTACTGTCAGGTTTCGGTGCTATCTTAAATAAGTTTCATTTTCAAGCGCAAAGTCTCTAATGAATCACTTTTACATTGTCCGTGCGTATCAGGACATGGTGCCCCGACACAATCTGCTGGAATCGTTGGAGGGAGAGGCGAATCGCACGGAGCTCCAGCCAGTTGATCCCTTTGCGACGATCTTCTGTTGACCACGTACCCTGGGCAACGTGAGAGAGAAGATGACCTCCCCATCCCGTCAGGCTGGCGTCCGTTGTCACTACTAGGCGCTGTAGGTTCTGGAAGTAGCAGCCCTGCTGTAGACTCTGGGAAGACCACCAGAGGAGAGACCTTGAGACCTCTGGCGGGAGGGATACTCGTGCGGAAGAGTTGCTTCTTCTGGCCCTCTGAAAGGGGAGGAGGAACCATTGGAGCTGGCGGGAGTGAAACCTCGCCCAAGGGACGATGGACAGGCAGGATATCATTTTGCCGAGCAGGCGGGACAGGAGCAGCAAGATCACCCTCCGAGAGGAAAGGACCTGGGATGACTGGAGACTGGAGCACCGGTCCGTTGACAGGAACACCTGGCCCTTCACTGAATCTATTACTGTCCCGAGGTGAAGAATTCGAGTAGTGGGCTGCAATTGGCTCTTCGGAATGTTGAGGGAGAAGCCATGCTGACGAAGGCAGCGACACACCACTCCTAGGTCTCGAGAGGCCCGGGCCGGGGGAAGGGAGAGCACCAGGATATCGTCCAAGTAGCAGTGGAGCCGTACTGGATGTTGACGTAGGTAGGCCGCCACTGCTGCCAGGAGCTTCGTAAAGGTTCTGGGGGCTGAAGAGAGGCCGAAGGGCATCTCCCTGTATTGGAAATGCCTGTTGTTGTAGGCAAAACGGAGGTAACGACGATGGGACGGTCGTATGGGTACGTGGAGATACGCTTCTTTCAAATCGATAGAGGTCATCCAGTCCGTTGGTCGAATGGAAGCCAGAATCGAGCGGAGGGACTCCATTTTGAACTGATGGTATATGATAAATTCGTTC